GAAGGTCAGAGCTTACCAGAGTCCCACAGGCTGCCTTGAGTTCACCAAAGTTCTTAAATGGCACGAGGAAAGTCCTGCACCTGTGTGCACTGGGCCCACAGACTGCAGCTCTCCTACATCCTGAAGGCCACTCAGAGTCCTCCTAAGCTCTTAAAAGTTTGGAAGGGCACCTACTTAGGGTCTAATTTCTTTCTTCATCTTGTGGATACTAAGTTGTCCTTTTTACCATTGACTGAAGACCACTGACTCAGACTTCTTGATTGTGCATTCTTTACACTTCCGTTGAAAACTAATTGACTCTAGATAAGTGTTAATCTCTCAGTATCATTGGTTATGTACCCTTTATTATGCTAGTATTTTTATTATGCTAGTATATTTTGATTACCATAGCTTTGTAATAGATTTTGAGGTCAAGTAACATGACATTTCTTGCTTCCTTCTTTTGCTCAATATTTGCTTAAGTTTTCAAGGTCATCTGTGACTACACATAAATGTGCTTTGTTTTTTTTTCCATTTTTATGAAAGATGACATTGGAATTAAGGGTTCTCTTGACTCCTACAGAATTACAAAAGAATGTTTTGGGTCATTTTCAGTCTGTCAATTTAGGGTAATTTTTTTAGACCAATAGAAAATAAATACAGCCATCATGATGACAGTCTTTAAAGTATGGGGTACTGTTTTATAAGTTACTGGTAACAGTGATATAGATACTGTGAATAGCAGGAGACTGAAGCCCCGTAACAGATCTATGAGATTAAATTTTGAGGAGATCATACATGTAAGGAACTCCTATGTTCCTTTGCAGAATCACTGGCAGACTGGTGAATACAGGGGGCTGTGGTGCTTATATTTCTGGGTTTGAATGTTGGCCCTATCGCTTGCTAACTGTGAAAGGCTGCAAACATTTTAAGAACTGTGTGTCTCAATTCCCTAATTAAAAAGAAGGCTTAAAAATAGTACCCAGTCTTCACTGTGCTACTGTGAAGATTAAGTACTTAGAAGCGCTCTTGGCATGCATTAATTATGTAAAAAACGTTAGTCAGTATTAAGATTATTTTGGCTCCAGCTTTCTGCCTGCCTACTCTGTACACCTTAAGATTCCCTTTTGTCAGAGCCACCCTCCTCTCTGGGGCCTGGCTCTTCTGGTGCCTGGGGCCAGTGGTTTCAGTAGTGATTCCCTGGATCAGATGCTCAGAATTACGACTGTGCTAGAAGTAATAGAAAACAAAGAATAATTTCACAGGAGCTTTTTTCCTTCCAAATAAAGGAAATGGGGCTCTGAAGAGGAGCAGGAAATAGCCAGGGAAGCCATCGACAAATGTCAGCTACTCTGTATGTCTATAACCATTTAATCTGGTTTTGAATGAAACAAATTCTCTGCCCTACTTGCCGCAATGGAGGTCAGGACATTTTTGTCTTGATTTTCTTGTATTACTCATGTTCAATAAGGAATATTCATCCTTCTTATCTTTAGACACTGGAAATCAGAAGGACATATAAATGTATGCATGAGGTTTCCATTTTAAACTCAGATGCTTATATATGCAATACTCTTTCTCAAAATAAGGGGAATAACATTAAAAACCCCATTTATACTCTTTGTTTAGATTTCCGTCATGTAATTGTACAGTAGTCAATACTTTTAACATTTTGGAAAATACAGTCTATTCTTGATTATCAAACACAGAAGTCAGGGGAAAAGACAATTGATTTTTACTTGAAAAAATTTAAAAGTAAGCATAAGAGACAAATTCTTCCCATATGACTTGCATTATTTTCTGTTTACCACTGGTTGCTACTCATAATTTATGTTATCTCAGATAAAAGATGTTATTCCTGAGTTTGATACTTTAAAGTATTGTTTTTCTCCTGATTGAAAATAAGACAATATCTGGCAAGTGTTTTAGTTTAACTGAATGTTGGTTGACAGGTCAAACTTAAAACTCAAATTTGAGACATGTTCCAATTTAAGTAGGCCTAATAAATTTAAATTTTTTTTAAAAAGCAAAAGCTGAAGTATGAGATAGCAAATATAATGAATCCCATTGGATCATTAAAAATTGAATTAATTAAAAATTAAATAAGAGCTAATGTACATCTCCTTGTCCAAATTCACCACAAAATCCATGGGGAAAATGACTTGGTATATTTTATTTGTACTTGAAGTGATCACCACACTTGCATCTCAAAGGGCCATGCCTGTGTATTGCAAATACCGTCCTCACTGGCATACAAATTTCATATTCAGATGAATAGAATTTTACTGTCTCTTGTTCCAAAAAAAAGAACAAAAGTAAATACAATTTATAAATGTCTTTTGCTAAAAATGTTAGGCTTTGGTAAGGCCATAATGGGAAATTTGGGGGTGACTTAATGAAGACTGATGGGGCAGAGAAATAAATCTGAGTGTATAGCCCAGCAAACACTCCGGACCACATTGCATACTTCCAAAGATGATTAAGGTCTAGGGATATAGCTCAGCAGCTTAAGTGCCTGCTGGACAAACACAAGGTTTTGAGTTCAATTCCTGGTACAAAAAAAGAAAAGAAAAAAAAAAAGATTAAATGAGCACACACTGAAAGCTCTTAGTAATACTTCAGAAATCTGAATGGCAAAATATGTCTTTTGAAGCACTTCTAAACAAATCTACTCAGCCTGGACATTTTAAATCAGTTAAGAGAATTGTTTAACAATACAATAGTATTTTTTACACTTCTCTATACAGATTTTTTAATTAATTTTATTGAGAAACAAGTAGTCATGAGACAGTTTCAAAACAGATTAGTAGGACAGTTTCAATAATTAATACATTGCATATTGTTGTCTTCATAGTGGTTATTCATTGTACAAGATGCAGACGTGATATCCTGTCCAAACACTCTTAGTAAAAAGCTTTCTTCTCATTGAACTAAGAGAAAGTAGCTGTATATCTATGCTAACTATTTTGTTTATGTAGATACAAAATGGTCCTTAAAGTGTGCTGATATTTGATAAGAATGAAGGACTGCCATTCTTATCCCAAATACCTCTGAAGAGCTTCTGAAAGTATAAACAGCAGAAGGCTGTGGACAAACAGCGCTCCCTCCCTACTGCATCATCCTAATCTTAGTTTCAGTTTCAGTTGCTCAGACTACTCTATATTAATCCTCTAGATGGTCGTGGCTTCCACTGTTTCCCAGCAGCAGTCCACTCTTACATCCCATCCCCAGTCTCATTGGCCTTACATTGCTTTTCTCATTCAGTCTCTAGCTACCCAGGTTTTCTTTCTATCCTCCAAACAACATGTACCTCTCTTACTACTGTGCTGCTGTTTCCTCCTCTTATTCTCTGTGTGGCTCCTCCTTGTTATTCAGTTTCGTTTACATATCACCCCCTTTGATGGGTCTTGTGGACAACTCAGTCTAAAGTCACAAGCTAGCTCATCCCCATTTGCACTCTTATTTTCTCTGCAAACAACTGGTCCCAGTAAGGTGTTGGTTATTTACTTTTCTGTTTGTTTTTTACTGATTGTCTCCTCCAGCCAGTCTGGAGGCATCCTGATGCAAGGACTTTTCTTTGCTTCTGATGTTTGCAGCTCATCAAATAGTACTGGCTCACAGTAGTGCCAGCTAAATATCTGTTGTTCAACAAACATTTATTTTAAAATGGAATATAACTTCAGGTAAAGATAAAAATATAATATATAGAATAGAACGGATCAGTTCTGAAAGCTAGAACACTGAATTTCTAGCAGTGTCAGAGGACACATCCCATGTTTGTTTGTACTTCCTATGTGGCCTCTTTTTTTTCACCAGTATCGCAAACAATGAAGGCTTCATGCTGTACCTAATGTTTCGGACTGTGCACAGAACAATATGATATGAACAACTTAAAAGTCACCATTACACATTTTGTCATTTTGTCAAAAATCCAACTGAGTCTCATTTCAAATAACTCTTGCGGACATCACAATGTGAAGATATCTAATGATGTGAGGTGTCTTTTCCTCAGAACAGCAAGGAAAGTTCTATAACCTTAGAGCAACTCATTTTGAGAGTAAACCTGGCAGAGCCTACCTGGTAGAGTAAGAATAAAAACAGTTCTGTGCTATTTGCAAGTATGGTTATGAGGAATCGACTGACACTGCTGCAGCTTCAGATTGTTTTTGCAAAAACATGGGGTTTTACTGGTAGTTGCCTTAAAAGATTATTCAGAAGATTAGGGAGAAAATGTACTAAGAGCCTACCAATGCTATACTTCTAGTGTGGTGCTTTTTATGATTCATATTTTGTCTTCAGTTTTCTTGAAAAAAAACAGAACAAATGTTGATTTAGCATTCTTTGTTACACAGTGGAATTTAGATGATGGCCGGGGGAACTTTAGATATATTTTAAATGAGTAGCTAAAAGAACCTCAAGGTCTCTCAGACTCTAGGTACCAGCAGGTGCCCACTTTGTCCTTTCGGGTGGTGCAGGTTTGAATAAACTGTATTTTAGAATCCTAAGAGAGATCTGTGCAAATTGAGTACTACAAGGTTGTGCAGTTTGTGCACTGTGGAAAGACCAGTAGCAAAGCCAGGCATGGTGACAAGAATCCAGCTCACCCTCTTTTCAGGTGGATCTGGGTGAGTGCAGAGACAGTATCTGCCCAATTTGTATATGCATAAGTCATCCTAGAGCTTATTTGCTCCTTTCAAAGTATAATATTTTCCAAAATATTTTAATTTGTGAATAATATAGCTGCACGAGACATAAATACACTACCCTGTAATCCTGGTGCGGTGGTGCATGCCTGTAATCCTAATACCCAGGATGCTAAGGGAGGAGGATAACCCTGAGTTTGAGGCCAGCTTGAATGAACCACATAGCTCATTTTTTTTAGATTATGGTCTTTTGTTGATTGATTTAATTTGTGCATTAAGTATAGTGATTTTGTTTCAGATAAGAAATGGTATTTTTTAAACTAGTAAACTTGTATTTGTACGAAACACTCTGCTTATGCAGAATGTGGTTGTTCTTACCTACGACATGTGGTTTTGTTGTGTTTGTTGCTGTTGTTGCTGTTGCTGCTGCTGAATGAGCAGTTGCTGCTGCTGTCGACGCCGGGCTGTCCGGAGCTTTTCGAAGCGAGCCTCCATTTCCTCCAGGACTTTGGGGGTGTATCTGACCACCAGCTTGACACTGTCCTTAGCAGCCTTGAGTAGTTCCACAGCTTTCTCATGGTGTTCTCCCTCCACGCTCTGAAAAGACAAGGCCATTTCCTGAAGCAGAGAGTTTCAATGTTCTCTTCCCCAAGAGATAAATCTGAAATTAGTGTCCTACTGAAAATCCAAATTTGAATGTTCAAGAATGTAAGGCAAATGAGATATAGTACTATTATCATTATTGTTTATTATATTTTGGATACAGTATAAACTGTGTTGGGGTACAGGATGGATTAAATAGAGGTTCAAGTTAGGATAAAAACCAAGGAATGATCATTTCTCAATTTTATCTGGATGAGTAAACATGGGAGTCAAGAAAATTTTGGAAAGGACACTCCACAGTATAAATAAATGATGAATTTTCCTATCAGACATTAAAATTTATTGAGAAACTATAATGATTAAAATAGTTCTTACTGCTAATGAGATAGTAGACCATAGCACAGTCCTGAAGATTATACATAAAAATTTTATTATATAATAGATGTGAACCTTCAGCAAAAGAGGATTATTAACACTAATGTTAGAACAAATAAGGATTACATGGCACAACTAGAGATGCCAGTCTCATATTCTAAGCTTTGTATGTGTTGATTAAACACTTCAATGTAAAATAAAAGCATAGAGCTGCCATCTTGGGTCCCCACGTGTGTGCTCCTAATCTCAGCTGGTCTGCCCAAGACCCCCGAGCGCCAGCTCTAGTCCCCTGTGCTGTCCCATATCTGATCTGACAAGATGAAAGAAATTATCACGAACTAGGGAAAACTCGCCAAACTGCAGGCACAAGTGCGCACTGGTGGGAAAGGAACTGCTCGCAGAAAGAAGAAGGTGGTTCATAGAACAGCCACAGCAGATGATAAAAAATTTCAGTGCTCACTAAAGACATTAGGGGTAAACAATACCTCTGGTATTGAAGAGGTGAATGTGTTTATAAACCAGGGAACAGTTACCCACTTCAACAACCCAAAAGTTCAGGCATCTCTGGCAGCAAACACTTTCACCATTACAGGCCACACTGAGATGAAACGACTGACAGAAATGCTACCCAGCACCTTGAACCAGCTTGGTGCAGACAGTCTGACTAGCTTAAGGAGACCGGCTGAAGCTCTGCCCAAGCAATCTGTGGATGGAAAAGCACCGCTTGCTACTGGAGAGGAGGATGATGATGAGGTTCCAGATCTTGTGGAGAATTTTGATGAGGCTTCTAAGAATGAGGTAAACTGAACTAAGTCGGCTTCTGAAAAAGATTACACTTGGAAGAAATTAGAGGGTGTTGCTATTTTATACTATAACTGCTTTTTAAAATTGTTTTTGTTTATGGATCTGATAAAACCTAGATCTCTAATATTTTTTAAGCCCAAGCACCTTGGGCACTGCAGCTCTTTTCAGTTTTTGCTTACATACAATTCATTCTTTGCAGCCAATTAAGATGGAGAAGCCTGGGAATTAAGTTTGAAACAAAGATTAATAAAAAATAAAATAAAATACAAGTATACAGTAAACAAAAATGAATGTTTGTCATCTTGTAATGGGAAACAAATTCTTAGAGAAAAATTCTGAGGAAGTAGGAATCACAAAATAAGATTTCTTAGAAAGATAAAAATAAGTAAAATGACAAAATAAGATGTCTTAATTTTATGTTTCCATATCACAAATACTTTAAAGGGGTCAATAAGTCAGAAAGATACTTGAAACTTATGAGTCAATTTATTAGTATTTTTTATACAGAGTTCTTATATAAGTCAATGAAGATCTAATCAAAATGACCAAATGAATAATTCAAATAATGGACAAAGAATAATAAAAACACAAATGGTCCATAGATCTATAAAGAAATATTCACTCACTCCATGATCAAATAAATATAGATCAATACAAATATTCAATTTTTCATTTAAAGTGGTAAATATATATGTAAATGGCTTAGGGAAATGAGACTCTAAGAGATTGCTCATAAAATGGCAATATTGTTATGTACTGAATAAACAATCTATAATAAATAATTTAATTTTCATAGAAATTTAATAAGGCTAACAGCACATGTGCATACATACATATAATTATGACATAACATAAAGCAAAAAATAGATCCATTCTTGAGTTTTTCAATACCAAAATAGTCTCTTGAATGTAAGAGCATTAGGGCTTGGAGAAAATATCTCTACTCCAACTAACTGAAAGCTGCTTTTTATCCAATCCTCTACGGGTTCTTTTGGTTGGGATGAGAAAGAAAGCTGTAATCAAACTATACAGGACCCTGCCCTCTTCCCCTTCCCAAGAGGCTTCTACTGAGGTGACGCAACCTAATAAAGCCATTTACTTTCCTTTTCTATACTCAGGATGGAAATCAGGGCCTTTGTACTAAGCTGCCATCTCCAGCCCTTTTAATTTTTTTTTTTTTTTTTTTTCCATTTTGAGGCAGGGTCTTGCTAAGTTGCTAAACTGCCCAGGCTGTTCTTCAACTTTCTATCCTGGTGATCTGGCCTTTCAGAGGGCTGCAAGCACAGGTGTGTCCATTATGCCAGGCTGCTCATAAAACCACTTGCCCAGCTTCATGGGTAAAGTCCAGAAAAGAAACGACTGGTGATGTAACAGGACCTGAGACAGGCCTAAAGGGGATCAGAATAGCAGCAGTACCCGCAGGTGGCTCAGACTGTATGTTCCCACCCCATTCAGAAAGGAGTCTTATAATGGATATTAAATTGAGCTACAGGAAAATTAAATAGGCTCTGTATCAAGCCTACTTCTTCAATTGTAACATGCTTCATGATTTCTGCTACCATACAGATTTACACACTTAAGGAATCATTTTCAATTGTATCACTTGCTTTAGAAAGACAGACGTGGATGGAGTGAAAAGGTTAAAGGTAGCAGTGAGGTTGACTTAGTTCTTGTAAGAGCAGCACTTGTCACTTGTTTGAATAATAAGAGTTTAAGCAATAGCTCTGAAGGCAATTTATATAACCAATTCATTAAGCCTGGATTTCATACAAAGCACAGGGTTTTAAATAGCTTTAGGTAGAGTTAATTTTCATCTGTGGTTGAAGCCTAGGAAAATGCACTGGTTCATTGATTAATTCATGCTTTTAATTATTCATTCAACCATTAACACAGTCACTCAGAAGACTTTTATTAAGTAGTTACTAGTTACAATCTACTAAATTCTTTGGAAGAACAGAAGAGGCAGGAAAATTTTGACAGTAGCGTGCACTATAAAATTTGTTTTCACTATGCTTGCAAATTGTTTTCCAAGATTACTGGGTAAGGAAACGCTTGGCTATTCAATTGCCCATGTCAGTCTCTTAACTTCTTTTTGATTTTTTTTAATGGTATCTGCTATAGGGTCTCACTGTGCAGTTTGGACTTATAATGACCCTCCATTTTTCAGCCTCCCCAGTGCTGGGACTAAAGGAGTGTGCCACCATCCCCAATCTCAGTGGCCAGTGCAGCATGCAGTACTGGAGATCAAACCCCAGTCCGTGTGCTTGCCTAAGCAGGTGCTTAGTCCTCTGAGCTATCTCACTGGCTCTTCTTTGTTAATATTAAACTTACATGTTTCAATAACAATGGCTCACCCATTTTTAGGCCAGTTGTTTCATCTCTGGACTTCTTTTTGGCTTTTGTTCTGTTTGCTTTCATTTAATAGGGCTAGAGATTCTAGGCCAGACCTTGAGAGGCCCATTGTCACGGTTAAGGCACTTTGGTTAAGGCACTGCGTCTGCAGTTCAGAGCCCCCATGGGAGGGCTGTGGCCCTGAGGCAGGAGATTGGGAGGAAGGGGTGAAGAGCTGCTGGAAATGCAGCCACCAGGTGCATGTCAGCTTTGTGAAACTATTAAGGTCACCTTCTCCCACCCCAGCTCGGCATATCCACACAGTTACCAACAAAAGAACATCCTCTCCCCTCCACACACAAACTCCCGGGTTTATCTTCGAATCCAGGATTTCAGCCTTGATGCTTGGTCTCTGGTGTAGACAGCGAGTCAGATGTTTTTTTCTTTCAGGCTCACTATGAACAATAGGTCTCTTGATTTCAACCCACCTTCTTCATCTTCCCCACTAGGGTAAAGAATCATTCATTATTGAAAATCTGGGCTCATCCTACGTCTTTATTTCTTTTATTGGAAATGCTCTATTAAAAGAAAATAAATTACATAATTAAGTACGTAATGGAAATTAGTGTTGTGTTTTAGAACAAGATTTGGAGTAATATAGCGGATTCTTTTTTCTTTTTTGTGTGTATTTTAGGGACGGGTCTACAGGATATTCAGGCTTTCACACTAGATCGGACTCATAGTGATCTGCCTGTTTGCAGCCACCCAAGAGCTGGGATTATAGGTGCACGCCACCATGCCCAGTCTTAATTGCCATCTCAGCACAGCCCAGGGGCAGGGCCAGCACAGCAGGCCCTAGGATTGAACCCCTGGCCCCTGTGCCTGCTTGCAGGTGCTTTAAACTGCTGAGCTATTTAGCCAGCCCTATACAGTGGATTCTTGACTTATAAAGTAAGTGCATTTTCAAGGGATGCTTGTAATTCAGTAGGTTTTAAGTCAATATTATTTTTCTTATAAGAAGTACTAGAAATACCCATAATGCATTCTGAACCTCCCAAAGCAGTCATTAACTAACAATTTCACAATACAGAAGGGTCATAAAATGTTGCAGTCAGGATTTACAAGGGACTATATTTAATATAGGACACACATGACTTATAGGATTGTTTTACAATATTCACCCCAGAAGTCAAATGCAGAAGAATAAGAGTACCCACACACTAGAGACCCAAAGAATACATGGAGCTCAGGGTCTAGGTTCCACGCCAATGTCCACTATAAGTCCCGCTAAAGAACTAAAGCTCATGACAATGTCTCACGCAAGTCTGTATCAAGGATCTACACTGGGAAGGCCCAAAGGCCAGTGGTAGATGTTAGAAAGTCTGTGCCAGTGGGATGAAGGATCTGTGCCACCAGGCTGAGAGGACTGCACTTGAGCCAAGGTAAGATATAGAGCTGTCTTAAAGAGAATCAAAGCCATCCTC